TCGGTAATTCCAGCAGACAACCATGATAAAAAATTCAAATTAAGAATCAACAACACCCGTCCAATGAAGAACAAGCCAAACTTGTGCTGCTGTCCCTCCCTAACAAAGCTGGTTGAGAAGAACAGAGGCTGTCGGTGGCGTTGGATCTTTCACGAACAAATCTGGGTGGGCGTCTCCCTTCTGCTGGTGAACAGATTTTTGGCGCTTCTTCTCCTTGTTCAGATGTGAACTGATTGGGTATTGCGTGTTGGTGTCCTCTTCTTCTGTTGGTGAACAACAGATGCAGGTGGCTGGGATTTTGGGCGGCTGGGTGCTCTTGACCTCTTGCGCAGAACAACTTCTCTTCTGCTGCCGTGGGGCTCCTCGCATATATATCCTCAGAAATTAGAAGCCTTATTTCTCTTAACCATAGCAGACATGGGAATTGGGCTTTGTTTTGGGTCTGGACTGCAGTTGGCCCATAACTAGAAAACATAGCCCAATTATCTTTATTTCTGCACTCTGTCCATTGTCAAAACCGTCACTTTCAACTTAAATTCTGTATTGATACAGAAGGAACTGGGTTGAGCTCATAAAACATCAATTGTAGCTTTGCTTCTTAGCTTTCCAACGCCTGAAGAATCAACTCAATCTGATGCCTAGAGAAAAAGATATGGTTAAATTACTGCAGCATGTGCAAATTGTCACTTATTGCAAAATTAATTCCTATCTTAATTTTCACCCACAAATAATGAATTTAATATAAACAAAGGTGAAACTAAGTTAGAAAAGACCCATAAAATTTAATTTTAGGCTCAAAAAGGGTAGATAAATGCATATAAAAATTAAACTCATCAATTTGCATTAATTTTTGTGCCACAATCATAAAATCCTAGATCAAGCTGGTAGATTTGTTGTTGTGGCTTCTCTAGATTCTTTTTCTAGGACATCATGCCAACCAAACAAGCCCTAAAGGAACTTTTTTCATTTCCTATCTTTAATTTTTGCTACGCCTTTTATGTAAAATACCCTAGGGGCTTGTTTGGTTGGCCATTTTCCTAGAAAAAGAATTTAGGAAAATTGACAAAAATTGCACATGGCTTGGCTTAGGAAATTTAATTTCTTGATACACAAATCAAGGTACAATATAATTGATTATAGAAGAAAAGGTAATACATAATATTTACAACATAATTGATTGCCTTGGAGAAATAAATAATTATACTAATATAATCAATAATTTCTTCTTTATAATTGATTATGTCCACTTTCCTTAAAAAAACCCCTAAAAAATGAAAAACTTTCTTGGGGAAAGTGGTAATATAATGCATTACCAATTCTTCCATTACAAATTATATTGTGCCTTAATTTGCATGCTTGGAAATTAAATTTCCAAAGTCAAGCTGTGTCCAATTTTGATTGACTTTCCCAAATTATTTTTCTGAAGAAGTGGCCAACTAGGAGCTTGTTTGGTTAGAGGGCCAACTTTACTAGAAAAGTTTTTACTAGGAAAGTAATTAGAAAAGTATTATATAAAAATTGATAAGTTTTGTAGGTAAATTTTGTTAGCCAAACCCCTTATTTGCACTCTAAACATTTTTTCTTTCCATGATCAACACCCTAAACTAATTTTCATCCCAGTCAACACCTTTCCTAATTTGAAACTCGCAAAAAACCCAAAAATTAATAGTCAAACCCCTTATTTGCATCAAAAATTAACTATCAAACCCCTATTTGCACTATGACTTTGTGGTAATTTGGGATTTTTTTACAAACTTCAAATTATGGAGGGTGTTGACCACAAGGAAAATTAGTTTAGGGTGTTGATTGTGAAAAGAAAAAATGCCTAAGGGGCAAATAGGTGTTTTGGCCAAATTTTGTTGGGTTATTAACCTATCTATATTTGGTAAGAAATTAATATAAAGAAAGTTGGTAGGAAAACTGTTAAATAGATCCTACATAGGGAAAGTTAGAGGAAAACTTTTGCCTTTTAACAAATATGGGAAGAAAAGTTTGAAGGTTAGGAATCGTGTCAAGGAAAATAAAGACTTAAAAAAGCCACTTTTGTCCTCTTTTGTATAATATTAACATGTGAAAATATGTAAATAACCTTATAAAGTGAAAAATTTAGAAAAGTTTAGAAAGGAAAGTGGCTTCACAACCAAACAACCCATAAAACTTACCTCCTTCCATTCTCCAACACCCTTGGTGCAACTCTTATTTCGTTTTTGTTGTGCAGCCCCTTAATCCTGCTCCTCCATAGTATATTCTTCTTGGCTCATGAAGCTTAATCACTTTTCTCTCATTTCCACTCTCCAATATCCCCTACTTTTTCCCCCTTTTGAATCTTGGTTCATGGTCTGTAAATTAATAATTAATGGATCCCTGACCTGACCTTACTAGGCTTTAATTCCTATAAATTTTGAGTGAACCCAAACCTAACAATAAGCAATAGCATTTGATTCAACTGCCCATTGAGATGGTGTTAATGCATTAAGGCTCATTACTAATCATTGAAAATGAAAAAATTAGGCCTTTTGGTTCATTGATTAGTGTTCAAGGGATTATGATTTTCCTAAAGATGATAAAATATCAATTAAATTTCATCTTTATATTTTTAATAGAAAAAATAACTTCTTAGGTTGGCTAAAGAACTAGTTATTTTGTGCAAATAACACGACCCATGTTCTGCATCCTTATTAATTTGGCTTGTAACACGTAGAGGCAAATCAGAAAAGAAAATCAAAGAACCAAGTAAGAAGGGCTTATAACCAATGTTTTACGAGTAATGATGGTGTGCAAGAATGGTAAGGTCACAGTAGAGTAGCAGAATAGTGAGAGATCTAAGTTTTCATCTTTGTTTCATTGTTTGTTTTCGAGATCTACAAAAAAGAAAACATGAAGCCATGACAAGAAGCGAGGGAAGAAAAAAAGAAAAAGGAAGAATTTCTTATAAAGATTTGTAGAGATACAAAAATGGTGAAGAATTGGAGATATGAAACCTGGTGATGGAGTATTGGATTTGGATGGGAGAGATACAAGTGATTGAAAAACATAGGTTAGGATTTAGTCCAATGGTATAGATTTAGTTGTTGAATTTATCAACTATTTTAAAAATACTAGGTAATAATGATGGGCCATGGCTAACCTTTAGTTAAATTTTAAAATGAAAGAAAAGCAAAAGTAAAAAAAAGGAGATATGTCATACAAATAGAGTAAAAGGATGAGAAATTAAAAAAATTTTAATTAAAGAAAAAAAATGGTTGTTTGATGGCGTAGTTCGGTTTTTAGTTCTGGCTTGGACATTGAACATCAATCTATAAGTTTTCAATCTTAGACTATAACCAAATTTTTGGGCCCAAAGTCCATTTTAACAAGCTTAAATTCCAAATTTTGAGCCAATTTTTGGGCCACTATTTAGTGGTGGGTTTTCTTACCCACCCTTATATTTGATATTAAGGTGAGAAAACCCCCTGTTGATGGCTAGTTGAATGTCACCTCAAATAATCCATAATGCACTAAATTGTTAATAATGCCAATGTTCATAGTGTATTTTAAGATTTAGTTACATTATCTCTAAAGATACTGCTTGCTCTAGCAAATTCAAAATTATCATTAGTTGATCCATTTGTGTTAAGCTTGATAATATCTTTGGGTGATTTCTTGCAATAGAATAAACCTTGCTTCCTAGTACTACCATTATTATCACTAAGAATAGCCTCCAAAATTTCATAACTTGTTCAATAATAAGAGAAAGACACTTATATTCTTGCAACGATCCATGTTATAGCCCCTTAGTAGGGATAAAAATATCACTTGCCAATATTATCATTTGCCTTAAATGGCATAATTAATGCAATTTAAGATTGATAGCCTATTTGGTTTGAAAAGAGGGAAGAGCAAGGGTGAGAAAGTAGGACAATTATTACTCCTCTGTCCTAAAATACTTGTCATTTTTATTTTTCTTCAAAATTAAAGATTGGTAGACAATCTTTGATTTAGTTATTTTACCCTTAATATAAAACTAGGAAAAATTAAATTGAAATAAAATACTCCTATGGTAATCCCTTATCTCGTTGGTTCAAGTCCTCCTTTCAACTTCCAATATTTCTCCTATTCCACTACTACTTACTCTAGTTACATGAAATATTCTAGTTAAAACAATAAGATTTCAAGCATCCCATTAGATTAGAATAGCAATCAAAAAAGAGAAAAACATGCCCCTTTACATTGGTTTTAATCCAAAACCATTCTTACTCAAATGAGCTTGAAGCCTCAAACACCTTTGAAAAATCCAACCACTCCATTGGCAAAACGATTTTTGTTTCACCAAAGCTATAAATATCTGGTTATAGAGAACCAAATAACTAGTTATAGATGAAGTTGGATTCTAAATAAACCTACATATTTAGAATAGCTCTAGAAAAGAATAGTCATCTCTAACAAATCAATGCCTTGTGAGAAATATTTAATCCAATTAGCAACTGCAACTTGCAATAGCAATGAATGTGACAAGAGGTTCGCAAAACATTTAGGGCTAGATATTAGGTGGGTGAATATAGGAGAATTTTCAAAGATTTTCTTGAACCAATACAAGTTATTAAAAGGGGAGATGTAGTTTTTAGATAACGGACGAGGTAGAGAAAGCGGTTAGAACATGATAAATTTGGAAGAGACAATATGCAGAAGATTTCACACACAAGGATTTGAGGGAAGGTTAAAATTGGGGAAAAAATAAATGTTTACGCGCAAACATAAAAAAAAAAAAACGATAGTTAATTTAAGACAAAATAAAAATAAAATAAAATAATAATTTTAAGACAAAGGAAATATAATTAATCAAATTATTTTATTAACCCAACAACTTAATTTGATTAGTGAAAATGAGGCCGCATCTCCCCTCTCTCTTGTCTTTTCCATTTCCCTCCTACCAATACCAATGCCAATACCAAATAGACAATAAGACCTCGAAGGGCACAAAAGTTTGGCCCAAAAAAAAAATCAAAACTTTATTTTGAGAGTCCAATTAAGTCAGCGGACTTATTGCAAAAAATGGACTCAATTGGAGGGGCATGTGGGGCATTCCCATCATGTTCTGGCCGCTCCCATCAGAAGAAAAAGTCCATGACGTTGAACGGCAGGTAAATGGAAATCCGTAGTTAAGACCCGTAATGGTCAAACCAACGACAATTCCATGCTCCCTTCATTTCCCTGCGAAAGTAATTGTAATTCAACCAAACTACCCGGAAAATTCAAACCTCCTTCGATACATCCCTAGTCTCCTCTAAAAAAAAGAACCCTAACATTCATTTTCTCCCATTTTCCCCAATTCTCCCTTCACACTCCCCTGAAGATGGAGAACTCTACGCAAGAATCTCACCTGAGACCCGACAATTCCGTCACTTACGAGTCTCCATATCCTCTCTACGCCATGGCCTTCTCCTCCACCCCTTCCCGTATCCTCCACCATGGCCAACGCATCGCCCTCGGCAGCTTCATTGAGGACTACAATAACAGAGTTGACATAGTCTCCTTCGACCCTGAAACTCTCTTAATCAAGCCCCACCCTAACCTGTCCGTCGAGCATCCTTATCCCCCCACCAAGCTTATGTTCCACCCAAATCGAAAATCGTCTACCTCTGATCTTCTCGCATCTTCCGGTGACTATCTCCGTCTCTGGGAGGTTCGGGATTCTTCCATCGAGCCGCTTTCTGTGCTCAATAACAGCAAGACCAGTGAGTTTTGTGCACCCTTGACCTCCTTCGATTGGAACGATATTGAGCCCAAGAGGATCGGGACTTCCAGCATCGACACCACCTGCACGATCTGGGACATTGAAAAGGGCGCTGTAGAGACTCAACTCATTGCTCACGATAAGGAGGTTTACGACATTGCGTGGGGTGAGGCCAGAGTGTTTGCTTCGGTTTCTGCTGATGGGTCTGTGCGGATTTTTGATTTGAGGGACAAGGAGCATTCTACAATCATCTATGAGAGTCCCCAGCCAGATACGCCCTTGCTGAGGTTGGCTTGGAACAAGCAGGACTTGAGGTACATGGCTACAATTCTCATGGATAGTAATAAAGTTGTGATTTTGGACATTCGTTCACCGACAATGCCAGTGGCTGAGTTGGAGAGGCATCGAGCTAGTGTGAATGCTATCGCCTGGGCTCCACAGAGCTACAGGCATATTTGTTCTGCTGGGGATGACACACAGGCTCTTATTTGGGAGTTGCCGACGGTGGCTGGACCAAATGGAATAGATCCCATGTCTATGTACTCTGCTGGCTCTGAGATTAACCAGTTGCAGTGGTCTGCAGCACAGCCTGATTGGATTGCTGTTGCATTTTCAAACAAAATGCAGCTTCTGAAAGTTTGAGGTAGTACTATTGTTCCCCTACTTGCGTAGCTTTCCAGTTACGAACTTGCATGCTCCTTTTGCTATGTAAGCGGCAGAATTCAAGTTGTGGTATTAGTTGTTTGTGATTCTTTAACTTGCTGCTTATTTTGGCTTCATTCGCAATGTGGTCACTATTATCATTTTAATGAAACTGGTTAGAAGTTAGAACTACTTGTAAAACTATGATTGTGATTAAGACATTCGATGTTAGAAATTACAATTTTCTTTAGCGTCGTTGCTCAACTTAATGCCTTTAACTGCATAACTCAACTAATTGCTCTTCTTTAAACCCTTATCTACTTGTTTTTCTCCTTTTTTATTTCTTAGTTTTCTTTAATCATACTGCCTTGTGGCCTTGACCATCATCTGGCTATAGGCATGAAGGTTCCTGTTCCAAAGCTTAGCTTCAATCTGCAAAATAGGCACTTTTTCCTGCATTTATCCTTTTATTTTTCTTTTGAACTTCTGGAAGCAATTCCTTGCGCTAAATGAGTAGTTAATTTCTAGGTGACTGCTCATTTTCTCTTATATCTTCGGTGTTGGACTAAGATTTTTGGGTTCTTCATATTGGCACAATGTATTGACCACAAGGGCCTATAGTATTTTTTCAAACTTGATTTCTTTTTAATGGAACCTGCCTTATCTCTTGTTATGGCTCTATGCAGTTTTGCAAAAATTGTAGTGAACTATCTTGCATGAAATTGTACAGAGAATATTCCATTACTGGGTTAACTTCTGGCTCTTTGATGCATGAATTGGGATGTTAACTGCCTCCTTTTGCTCTCCCCATGTATGCAGTTGAACTTTATCCATCGTTCTCACTCCTATGACGCCAGTATGGTTCAGGATAGAATTCACAATTCCCTGATCATGTTCATTTATTAAAACATTTGAGCAATCAATCAAAGCAACAGGGAATTAGGGATATTGAGCTTAAAAATTTAGGATAAAAGTTATAACTTCATGGAGAAACAAAGAATCGGATACTAGCTGTCTCAGTTTGTATCTTCCCTAAGAATGATTTTGAATGTATCAGTTATATAATTAAGAATGTTTTGTGCAGTCTGGCACTGCACAATGTGGGGGTTCCCCCTAATTCAATGGTCCCTTTTTGCAGTTTGGCCTGCAAAAGGGGGACTCTAATTAAGATAATCTGGTCTTAAAAGATAGTCTTTGTGGCATAACATCATCATTGGTTCTGTATTCCTGTGTCCTTTTAAACATGCATAACATGAGATAGCTATTGAAGTAAGCAAGGAATCATGTGATGTGTACTGGTAGGATGAAGAAAAATTTTCAGTTTCTGTAACCATGCTTTTTTTTTTAGGTTAGTTTTTCTTTTCCATTATCCTCATAATTTTCCTTTTGAATGCTGATAAATGTTTTGAAGCATATCCATCTTTTTAGAATAGCTGATGTAAAAGCAATTCTATCTGTGTTTTGGCTGGTTTGTGCTTAAAGTGCTTCTAATTTGTGGCAAGAGGGTTCATTCTGATCTCTATGCTGGGAAGAGTAAAGAGAGGTGTATGTTAATAGGTTGAGGTTCCAATGTTTTCTATGTATATTGTGTTGCTTTCGCTGCAATGACATAAAGAATCACCATATCCATCTTTTTACAATAACTGATGTAAAGGCAATTCATTTTTTTTTTTTTTGTTTTACCTGGTTTGTGCTTAAACGTGCTTCTAATTTGTGGGAAGAGGGTTTGGCCTGATCTTTTATGCTGGGAAGAGTAAAAAGAGGAATACACTAATAGGTTGTGGTTCCAATGTTCTCTATATGTTCTGTGTTCCTTTTGCTATCATTGAGGTTTTAGGATTTTCAAGTGACAGTTTCTTTAGCCAACAGTATGCTACCTGATAAAATTCTCATTATTGATTTGCCCCTTGGATTTGCAGGTTAACAAAATTTGTTCAAGGTTTTTTCTTATACCCTAAGATAGGATTTGCCAAGTATAGTTTTTACACATTAGACAATGCATTTTAAGTTTCCCCAAGGGGGTGCCTCAACTTGTAAGAGCTTGAGACTTCAAGTTGGAGGTCTCATGTTCCAACCTTGAGAAGCGATTTGATCAATGAATTTTAGGGTTATCCCTTGTTGTATAACCCTTTATCAAATGTACTAAAAGAAGATCTATTGTATATGTATTCCAATTACCTCATCTAATGTCTATGTTAAATTGTGGAGATCTTTGTCAATGGCATAGTGAAAAGGTAGATGACCTAGTAGTTGTTCTGTAGGTTTTATATTTGTTGGATGCTCGACAAAGTTGGTCCAATCGATACCAGTCTTCAATTCTGATGAGGGATGATTGATCTAACATTTCAATGTGGAATGTGATGCGGGACAGGTTATGGGGTATGGTGGGCTTGGGGATTTAGAGGCTGTTTGGGCAAATCTATACTGTGAATAGTATGTGTGAACAGTAAAATAGGTCTGATTAGGATAGAAAAGAGGAGAAATAGAAAATAGGCAGAATACCCAAATCCACTCCCAAAGTATAGTGATAGGGATGGATCCACCCTCGAACAAAAAACGAGACAAATCCACCCACAAAGTTTTTAACTTGTACAAATCACTTCAAATTTAACGTGTGACATCATTTGACATCAGCAATCTGTTAATTTGACGTCATCTGACGTCAACAATCCATTAACAAATTAACGGATTGATGATGTTTGATGATACCACACGTTAAATTTGGGATGATTTTTCCAAATTGAAAATTTTGTGGGTGGATTTGTCTCCGTTTTTTATTTGGGGTGGATCCGTCCCTGCCACTATATTTTAGGGGTAGATTTGGGTGTTTTTTCTAGAAAATAAACAACGATAGAAAAAACTAGGAATCACACCTAGTTTCTTTAGGCATCACACTTAAAGAAAATAAAACCCTTAAGCATCACACCTAAGGCTAGTTGCATCACACAACCAAGATTGCATCACACAATTAAGAGCAAAACTTGCTGGAAAATTCTAAATATTATTAACTATATAATGAAAGAAACTACATGCATATTTATATAGAAACTACTAAGACTCTTACTAGAACTCTTATTTTAATTAGGCTATAACTCGAAATTTAAAATTTCTAATTTAACTAGCACTTAAGACTCTTGATCAAAGACCTAATCCCAATAAAAGTAGGAAAACTGATGATAATTACACTTGAATAAAAATAATTACTTAAGAATTCTACATAATCTAAATAATTATTGAATAGCTTCTTCTTGTTCCTCATTAGAATGTCTCAGGTCTCTTTAGACAGTTAGCTGTCTAATCGGTTATACCGTGTTACCCATTTTAATTGGTTGTCTACATATCAGGTAAGCTGTATATCCCGAACCTTTAAAACATAACTTTCAGTGAAGGTATCAAGTAGGCGTGTTTCAGATACAGATCAGCTCTGAAACTCTTTCGTTGCCTTTACCAGCCCCAAGCTCAACAAAATCCATTTCATGTTGTGTGTATCCATCTTTTTTGCTTAACTACAGTATGGTGATTCTATATATTGTGTTGGATTATGCATGTGATGTTTAAGGGATCAACGGTGATGCTACTAAAATGCTACTTGTTCCTTTGGTATACCAGTCTAAACCGGCATTCTAATCATGAGATCTTGTACGGGATTGCTGTGGTGTTGTGGTGCGCTAACTGTTACCAAAAATTGTTTTGGATGTGTCGTGATTAATTTAATGTTTGGTCATTTTAATAGAGTTTTTTTAAGACAAAGTTTATGGTGTAATTATTACACTTTTTTTTGCATGAATTAGTATTTAAAAATATAAAAATTATAATTAATTTCATTATCAATGTCATGTAAATTAAGACAATTATAACTATAATAATTAAATCCATAGCCTATACATGTAAGACACGTACTAGAAATACCTTTATAATAAAAGTTACGTGTACAGGTTAGAAACACCATTGTAATAAAAGCAGTGGGTGAGTACTTTTAGAATTGCATTATTACTTCATTGCGGTCTTTGGAAGTTATAATTGCATTATTACGTCATTGCGGTCTTTGGAAGTTATACCCGGTAGCTTCCAATTTTATATCAAAAGCTACTGTAACTATCTTCAGCAAATCGAAAGGAATAGGGTTTGATATTACCTTTTTATTGTCAGATTTGAGAAGTTTTCCAAACACGTTCTAGATTCTCCCAACCGAAACCTTTGGATCATTCTCAGCTTGAGATGTATCCCAACCAACTTATTGAATTAATGTTCTCCTTATTCATCTCTTTCAATTTGTCAACTGCGGATATTGGACGCTTTTGCAAGCAGCCACTAGTTTGTTAGGTTGTTAGTGCAGTAGCTTCCATTAACTGTGATTTTCTAGCCCTATTTGGTTTAGCTCGGAAGAGAAAATTGCAATCAATTGTTATTTAACAACTAAATTAAGATGTGGGAGGCTAATTGATCAAATTATTGATAAAAAAATACCTTTTCACCCATATGGTCAAAATTTAAATTCTCATTTTCCCTCTTCATCCTTCTTCCCAACAGAATTATAACCAGTTATTTTGTCTCATAAAATAAAATAATTAAAAAAACAAAAACAAAAACAAAAACAAAAAAAGCTAAACTAAACCAGATTTGTCTGTCTTTTGCACATTTACAGGCAATGTCTTTGGAAAATTTGCTTCATCATGGATTGCATATTGTTGCAATTTGTCAAATAAATTTGACGAAAAATATCAAATTGCAAGTTTCCAAATTAAAGCAAAAGGGATAGAAAGGGAAAATGAATTAAAGATAACATTTTTATACTATTTAAATAATTGACATTTTTTATTTATTTAAAACTCTTGATATTAAATATATTCATTCATTTAATAATACGTAAAAATTGTATAAAAAGATGTTGTAAAAAAAATTATCCCTATATCACCACCTGAATAAAAAATTAAATATTTGAACTTTGCAAACTTGCATTGTGTAAAGGTAGCTGTCTTTTCCTTTTCCTTAAGGTCGAAAATGTCTTTCAAATTTCAATTAATTGATAGGCTATTATTACCTTTCCTAAACAATGCCCCCCTCTTATTTTCTCTTCTGCTTCGTTCTTGGGGTAATCAATCCAAGCGTTCAAGTTGTTCAATTTCTTTACTTCAAAAAAAAAAAAAGTATTTCAGTTAATTTTGTGTATGATTTTGTGTATGATTTTGTTGACATTAAAAATATTAGTGTATGATTTTGTTGCTGTTGTGTACATAATATTATTTACAAGAATGGAAATGATTGGGTTGTTTTGTGTCACCCTTCTGAAACTCTCACGGTTTTTTCTACAGCTGCTTGGAATGCAGAAATCATATGAGCCTACTGATGATCGTATCAAAAATCGATCGTCTCCTACACTGGTTCCCGTCCCTATTCATTTCTTAGCTGAGTCTGTCAAGGAGCAACTTACAGTGTCCGAATACCGCTACTTTGTTCCAAAGAGATTGGGTGAAGAAGAGGAGTCTTTGTGCATTGTGTGCATGGGCTGCATTGAGGCCAGTGACGAGGTGAGGGAGATTTCTAGTTGCCATCATGTGTTTCATAGGAAGTGCTTAGATGGTTGGATTGATCACGGCCACATAATTTGTCCTCTTTGCAAATCCAAGCCATTGGCTACAAGAGACGGAGAAGGAAGCGGAGGCAAAGGCGAAGGCGATCCGTGGAGGAGGGAGAGGATGGTTTATCTGTTCGGTGAGGATTGTAACTTCAATACAAGTAATTAATTAACCTCTGATGTCATGTTATGTGTGGATATTTAAGTTTTGCATGCAGTTTCAGATAATTTTGCCACTTTTTTCGGTCTTTCCTTTTGATCACATCTTGGTACATACTGTTACCAAGACCCCATTTGGTATAACATTGGAAATTAGCGATTTTGCCCAAAGTGCTGAAGACACCATGTTTAGTAAAAATTTGTATTCAGCGATTTGAGATTGGTAAAGAGTGATTAGAGTTTAAGGGTTGTAAGGGCAGGTCCGAGGTGCCCGACCTCAGACGTACGACAGTAATTCCTTTATGACCAAAGTGAAGGATAAATCCTAAGATTCTCGTTCAAATAGCTGCATGATAGTAACAATAAGCATGCTCGCACTTGATCCTTTATAACAAGTCGCATAGCAGCTATGATGGACGTCCTTGCATCTGAATATCTCTCAAATTCTCAGTCCCGAAATAACCGTTTGGATACACGTCAGGCTCCGACTATCTTGCTTGGCATGCCACGTGGGTTCCTCACTGGAGCCTATAAATACCCCCCGGGGGCCACGTCAAAAAGGTAATTAAAACCAACCCGAAGCTCCTTTAATCTCTGCTCTAAAGGTAGCCCCGATTATTGCTGACTTAAGCATCGGAGTGTCTACCCCGAGATCCATCTCGGGGCTTTGCAGGTCAATCCAAAGAGCAGACGTGGACTGAAGAAGGACTTTTGGTTTGGTACAATTACATTTGGCGCCGTCTGTGGGAATCCAAACTGAAAGCTCCCTTGTTTCTCTTATCATGGTTAATACTCGGTCAGTCCGAGCTGGAAACTCATCTCAGCCTCTTGGACGAGGTCAGGTCCCCAACAACCTCCCACCTCAGCTTCCACCTCCAATCCCCAATATGTTCTCTCCTGTTGATCATGCAGAAGGAGGAGATGAAAACCAACCTCATAACTCAGCTCACAACTCAATTTCCACCGCCAACCAAGATGTAGTTGCAACTCAGCTTACTGCCATGCAACAACAGTTTGGTGTTTTTCAGTTAGTATTGGCTCAGCTCTTAGCTCGGAACAACCCTGGTGATCCCCTCATAAATCTACTTAACCCTGCTCCACAACCCCCAGCTCCACAACAAAACCCTGAACCAGTTCAGCATGCTCCTACTCATAATGAATCTCAAGGTCAATCTCATGTAGCACCAGCTCAGCAACCCCTTCATGATGATGTCACTCGACGTTTAAACAGCTTAGAAAAGCTAGTGGCTGAACAGCGAGGTGTCCCACCTCCATACCACACTACTAACTCCATACCTCATCCTCTGAACACCAACATCACACTGGAACCCTACCCCGCTGGCTTCAGGATACCACAACTTGAAACTTATGATGGGACGAAGGATCCCGATGATCATCTACATGCTTTCTACTCTTGCATGCAAGCCCAAAACGCCTCTAACATGTTGATGTGCAAAATCTTTCCCTCTACTCTCCAAGGTAATGCTCGAACCTGGTATTACAGTCTACCTCCGAGGTGAATCAATTCTTATACAGAAATGGCATCTGCTGTTGCCACTAAATTTTCCAGTAGAAGGTTGATCAAGAAAACTACTTTTGAGTTGATGCGAGTTAAACAAAGGGATGGAGAATCTCTGAAGAACTATATAAGTAGATTCAATGATACAGTATTGGAGGTTAGTTCCTTCGACCAGGCCGTGGGGATTGCAGCTGTGATCTCAGGTCTTAAACATGATAGGTTCCGAGACAGTTTGATCAAACACCCTGCCACTACCTTTAGTGAGGTGATTGATAGGTCCCTGAAATTTATAACTGCTGAGGAATATGCCCTGGCGCAGAACCCAACCCCCTCTAAGAACCAAAACCCCGATTGGAGAGATGAGAACCTGAGCAGGAAATGGATGAGAATAGCACAGAACCGAGATCCGGTGTCAACCTCCACACCGAGATTTGGAAGACCGAACTCAGCGCCCCCACAACAGCCTGCAGGTAGAGCTCCAATTACTTGGACCCCTTTTAACCTACCAAGGTCATAGATCTATATGTAGATTAAGAACAAAATGGACTTAAGGCGCCCTAGTCCAATGAGAACTACTGCTACTAGCCGAGACCATACAAGATATTGTGATTTTCATCAAGATCACAGTCATACAACAGAGCAATGCAACAGTCTGAGGTCCGAGCTAGAAAGCCTAACTCAGAAAGGAATGTTGAATGAGTACATCCAGAGAGCCAAATAGCCAAGATTTGTCAGAGAACAGGGACAACAGCCTCAAGGACTCCGTAATCCACCAAACAAGCAAGGAGTGGGATATCAACAAGCCCCACCTCCTCTTCCACCACCAGCCAAAATTATACACATTATTACAAGAGGATTGGAAGCAAGGGGGATGAGCTCCAAGCAAAGGAAGTTGTATGTCAGAGAGGTCAAGCACCAGAATCGAGCTCAAAAGAGGAAAATTGATGATGCTGACTGGAAAGAACAACCGACCACTTTTACACCTGCTGATTTTGAAGGGGTGGTAACACCTGACAATGATCCTTTGGTCATCTCTGTAATGATCAACAATTGTCAAGTCCAGCATATACTTGTTGACACTAGCAGCGCACCTGACATCATGTACTACCACTGCTTTTAGAGCTTAGGGCTCGACCCAGCTCTACTACAGCATTATGATGGTCCAATATATGGCTTCAACAACCAACCAGTTCCAGTCGAAGGGGTCCTAACCATGAACGTTGCATTTGGAAGCGGCTGAACCTATATGACCCCTTCCATTCGGTTTCTGGTGGTCAAGATGCCTTCCTCTTGCAATGTTGTCATTGGCAGGCAAACATTAACAGAGATCCGAGCTGTGGTCTCTCAATCTCATCTTTGCATGAAATTTCCAACCCCCATGGGCATAGCAACACTCAGAGGCAATCAGGAAGTAGCCAGACATTGTTACCTCACTTCGGTCACGAGGCCACAGAAAAACAAGGACCAACCAGTCGAAAGTTCTCCCTAGGAAATCCATGACAATCGGCAAGTGATGGGAGTTGAAATCCTCGATAACCAACCTGAAGATGATACCTAAACTGCTCCTAGTAAAGATATTGAAGAGGTACAGATTGATGACAGAGATTTGACCAGGAAAACACAGATAGGAACTCGGCTGAGCCCCGAGGAGAAAACAGAGCTGATAGCCTTTCTCCGAACTAACAAAGATGTTTTTGCATGGACCTCAGCAGATATGTCGGGAATTCTCACTTCGGTTTCTCAACATAAACTTAGCACCAATCCACTCAAGAAACCAGTAGCCCAGAAGCGGCGCCTCTTCAGGGGGGAGAGGCTAAAGGTCATCAAAGAAGAAGTTGAAAAACTCTTACAAGTTGGCTTCGTTAGACGGGTCGATTATTGTGAATGGGTCGCCAATCCTGTGTTGGTGAAGAAAGCAAATGGAAAATGGCAAATGGCGGATGTGCATCGATTACACTAACCTCAACCAGGCATGCCCAAAAAACTGTTACCCAATGCCAAACATTGACAAGCTGGTTGAGGCAGCTTCTGGAAACAAGAGATTAAGTCTCCTGGACACATACTCTGGCTAACACCAGGTTCCAATGGCTTTTGAGGATGAAGAAAAAACCTCGTTCTATGCCGGTGATGAAATCTATTGCTATGTGATGATGCCCTTCAGCTTGAAGAACGCATGTGCCACTTACCAGAAGATGGTTACCATCGTATTCCGAGCTCAAATAGGCCGAAATCTGGAAGTTTATGTTGATGATATAGTGGTGAAAAGTTTGAAAGCTGGAGATCACTTAACCGACCTCAATGAGACATTCAACAATCTCAGAAAGAACAGAATGAGGCTGAATCTAGCAAAGTGCATCTTCGGCGTGGAGTTGGGAAAATTTCTAGGCTTCATGGTGCCAAAAAGGGGGATTGAGGTTAACCCCGAGAAGATCAAAGCAGTAGTCGAGATGGAACCACCGAAGTCGATAAAAGATGTACAGCGGTTGACAGGGAGAGTGGCAGCTCTTCATAGGTTTATCTCGAAATCAGCAGATAAATGCCTGTCGTTCTTCAAGATCATGACATTGGCAACTCAGAAGGATGAATCTAACAAACAGATATTCTATTGCTGAGAAAGCAGCCTTAGCAATTGTCACTTCGGCCAGGAAACTGAGACCATATTTCCAATCACACCCGATCATAGTTCTCATGGATCAACCCCTCAAACAAATCTTACAGAAGCCAGAATGCTCAGGAAGATTGATCAAATGGGCAGTTGAACTGGGAGAATTTGAGATAACATTCCAGCAGAGGTCAGCAATACAAGCTCAGGCTCTTACAGATTTCATAGTAGAATGCACCTCGGCCCACTCTGGTTCCCAGTCTGAGCTGGACAGCTGGATTCTGTATGTAGATGGAGCATCAAGTCATAAAGGTTTTGGCGCTGGTGCAATCCTACTTGGCCCAGATGGGTACAGAAGTGAACATGCTCTAAAATTTAATTTTGATGCCACCAACAATATGGCTGAGTATGAGGCTCTGTTACTTGGCTTACAGTTGGTAGTAAAACTGAAGGTTGCAATGATACAAATATACAGTGATTCACAACTAGTAGTCAATCAGGTCAACTCAGTCTGCGAAATGGTTGATCTTGTTATGATGAAGTATGCAACTCTAGTGGCCGAGCTGAAATCCAAATTCTAGAAATTCCATTTGAGCAAAATGCCCCGAGCTAAAAATGAACAAGCAGATTCCCTCTCCAAATTTGCTTCTGATGGCAACCGAAGCTCCAGATCGGTCTTTGTCAAAATTCTAGACGAGCCTAGCTTCTCAAAGCCAAGAATGATGGAGATCAGCACAGATCCTAACACACTGAGTTGGACAAATCCAATTATCTCATTTCTACGAGATGGTACAGTGCCTGCAGATAAACAGGAAGAAATGAGGTTGAGGAAGAAAGCATCTCGGTATACCCTTGTTAATGACGTCCTTTACAAGAGATCTTTCTCACTCCCTCTACTTCGCTGCCTGAGCCCTTACGAGGTTGAATACGCACTTCGGGAGGTGCATGAAGGTGTCTGCGGAAGTCACATTGGTGCTCGAACTTTGGCCCATAAAGTCCTTAGACAAGAATATTACTGGCCCAACATGTGTAAAGATGCCACTAAATTCGTACAGAGGTGTCAGAAATGTCAGTTCTTTGCACATCTAATTCACCAAGCAGCAAAAGAGCTCACTACTCTAATAGCACCTTGGCCTTTTGCTCAGTGGGGGCTTGACCTTTTAGGTCCATTTATGAAAGGGGTAGGAGGTGTAACCCATCTAATTGTTGGTGTGGATTATTTTGCGAAATGAGTTAAAGCTCGCCCGTTATCCAATCTCACCTCCAAGAAGGTCAAAGACTTTGTTTTCAGCTCAATCATCTGCAGATATGGGATCCCGAATCAGATTGTGGCTGATAATGGAACTCAGTTCAACTGCTCCTCTTTTAGAGATTTCTGCTCTAGTTATGAGATCAAATTGCGGTTCACCTCGGTATACCACCCAAAATCCAATGGGATGGTAGAATCTGTCAACAAGGTTATACTCGAGGGGATAAAACCAAGGTTAGAGCTGCACAAGGCCAAGTGGGCAAATGAGCTCAATAACGTCCTCTGGGCATACAAAACCATGAGCCAAACTACCATAGGTATTACTTCAAACCTGGTTCACTTGATTAACTTTCATATTATTTTACTTCTCCTTCTACGATTCTACCTTAGATCAAATGTGCATAACGTGTAAAGCGCATTCTAAATTGTTAATTAACTGGAATAGGTGAAACACCTTACCACCTGGCCTTTGGTACCGAAGAAGTCATTCCTATCGAGATAGGAGTCCCAAGCTTCAGGGTCACCCATTTCGATGAAAGACGAAATGGAAAATTGTTTCAGGAGAACCTTGATCTGCTTGATGAAGTCAAGGAAGAAGCACGGCTTCGAACTCTTGTATACAAGCAGAAAATAGCCAACTTCTACAACAAACGAGTTCGAGCCCGAACATTCAAAGTAGGAGACCTTGTTCTCAGGAAAGCTGGTCTAACGAGGTTCAAGACTCGATTCGGAAAATTAGCACCAAACTAGGAAGGCCCCTACGCTGTAGCCGAAGTGTCGCACCCAAGTGCTTATATCCTACGGGACACTGAAGGCAAAAGGGTTCGGGACACTGAAGGCAAAAGGGTTCCTAGAGTCTGGAATGTCAATAACTTGAAGAAATTTTACCCTTAATACACCTCTTTCTAGTAAACTTTGTCTTATTTTTATAATCGTCATTATTCCATTTTTCTGCTCAATGTACATGTGAACTCAATTCATTTATCTCATTCATGAATTTCACTTCACATTCGAAGTGATTCAGTTCTTTTTACCCTTCTATTCATTGGAAGTGGAGTTCACTTATTTCTGAAGTTAGTTCATTATGACTTCTTCAGTCACTTCATTTTTTAGGAAAGGATTTTTATTAATCAGTCACACTTTACTTTTGAACTGATTTATTTTATCTTTTCTGATCTGTGTATTTGAGGTCCACCTCATGTATACCCGAAGTTAATTCCCTTGCTGTTCATTTTATCGTGTCCGAGGTCAAATCCTTGTGTTAATTAAAGTCACTTTATTTTTTCCGAAGTAATTCACTTAAAGAAAAACAGCAATAAGAAACCAAAACTAAACACCAAGAATAAACTTCAACAATTTTATAAAATAATAAAACATCAATTACAAAAATGTTATTTACAAATATACCTAAAAAATAGAAAATCCTAAGCTACTCTGCTGAGGGA